ATGCATTAATAGCAAGTTGGTACACACACACACACACACACACACACACACTTTGTTTCCTTTTGCTTTTTTTTGTGACTCATCTATAAGTGGAATGATATGTGCCTGGAACATCTTGTGTCAAGAACATCTTGTGAAGATTAGCACATGAGAATGGACTGTCAGAGAAATACCACCATGACCAGGACTTTTCATGTTATCTCCAAGGGAGCTTTTTTACAATCACCTGACATCACTCCAAATGTAATGCCTGCCAGCAGAGCCAGGTCCACCATTTGGCTGTTTATCTCCTCTTAGCAAAGGCATACAGTGTTTCCCAAAAATAAGACACAAAATTGCTCAAAAATGCATTAGGGCTTATTGTCACAGGATGTTTTATTTTTTTCATGTACAACAATCTACATTTATTCAAATACAGTCATGTCATCTTCTTCTGCTTACTGCACAATGGTGGAGGGTGGGGTTTCACTTAATTGGGGCTTATTTTTGGGGTAAGGCTTATATTACGAGCATCCTTAAAAGTCATACTAGGGCTTATTTTCAGGTTAGGTCTTATTTTCAGGGAAGCAGGGTAAGTGAGTTTGATACAGCTCACAATATGACTTGTGAAGTAGAAACAATATGTAGGTGTAAGCTAATATGTGGCCAATGGACCTGTGGTCATCAAGATTGGTAGACTTTACCCTTTTATTGGACTTAAACTTCAAAACACAAACTACACCATGAAATTATGGTTGGCTCCAGGAAAGCGGGCAGCTGGTGGCACCACCAATCTGTCTTGAGTCGCCTAAATCTAGAGTAGACCCATTGATTCAGTCAGCACCATCCAACCATTTAGTCAATGGGTCCGTTCTCACTGGGACTACCAGTCAGATTAGGCCACAATGCAGCTTTTTTATTTCATCCACCGCAACAAAGAAAAAGCATAGATGAAGTTGAGGTGTAACACAAGAGGGCTATAAGTAGAAAATCCACCTTCCCTTTGTTATCACCCTACTCCACCCCCCAAAAATGTGAATGGAGCAAGGACCTCATCTGTAGAAACACTCTCAGTTTGTTTTTTTAAAAAAATCTATGTGTCCATCTTTCTTCTTTTGAAAACAAAAACCTTAGAACAGAAAAGAGGGCAGGGTTCTCCTTCTGCCTTCATATTTAGGTAGAAGAATGCAAAAGGTTTGGGCGGGGACAGAAACCAAGGTGATCGGAGACACTGGAACAATTGTCCACTTCTTTCACAACTACTTGGAGTTGGTCCTTCTCTTTCTTTTCTTTCACATTTGGGTCTTGTCCTCCGACCTCTTATAACTTTATTTATTTTTGACCAAATTGATATTGGCCCTGCTGTTGCCTTCCATTTCATACCAGGGCAAGGGCACACGAGGGTGTGTGTGTGTATATGTGTGTGTGTATCTCTGCCCTGACCCGCCACTTGCATTGCCAAAGCACAGGCCCCAGGCAGTTTCCCGGGCCCACTTACATCCGGGGATTTGTTTCGCCGCCGACGAATCCCAGCCTGACCGGAGGACGATGGGTCTGGGCTGGATTTGAAGCCATGCCCTTCTGCCCGGGCCTGGCGGCGGCCTGTGCAAAAAAAGGGCGCGGCTGTGGTGCCTTGTCAGCTTGTGTGGCGGCGAGATCGCGGCTTTTTGCACGTTTTTGGGCCGTACCTGGGAAACCGACTACACGAACGGCCCATCTTGTTTGGATGCCTTGTTCCCCTTTCCCCACCCCTTTCTTGTCAGGAAAGCGGGATCCTTCCCCGAGGTTGCACGGCGGGTGGGGCGTCGGTGGTTGCGGGTGGGACGGAGTGGAGGGTGGCGTGAATCGCTTCTGGATAAACGTCTCTATTAATGAATTATTAACTCCGCTTTCCTGACCTTAAAAAGCGGGGGATGAAGAGGCGCCCAGGGCAAGAAAGGAAACGGCTGAAGCCTTTATCGGTCTCCTGTCAGATCCACCCGACCATTTGTCTTCCCCCCTCAGATCGGGAGAATTAATTAATATGAAAGGAAACTTTTTAATTGTGTGTCAAACGAAATCAGATAGGGTCTCCCCGATCCAATATATGCTTTAATTCTGGATCTTGGCTTCCTCCAGCTTGTGTTTCCTACTTTCTTAAGAAGAAAGAAGGCGCAGAAGGGTGGGGAGGCAGAGAGGGATATGTATAATATTCCCGGGGGGTGGGGAAATGATGGATTTGGGGTAGTTAATTTATCGATCCTGGCTCATCTTTCCGCTTGTTTTATTTTAGAGGTCATTAATCAATGAAGAAAAACACCAGCACGTTTCACCTTTTTGCATGTAGCGCCCTGTGCCCTTCCTTATTTATTTCTCTGGGAATGGATTCCTAACAAATATTCGCCGATCGATTTGGTGGGGGCGGTGTATTTTTTAGCAAAGTTTGATCGCATCCCAAGCGGTCGATGCGATTTGTTTCAATGCTCGTCCTATAAATAATCCTCCTCCTCCCCTCCTTTTTTTTTGGTGGTTAAAGGAGAGAGAGAGCGGTAGAAGAAGGGGCGAACCGACGAGGTGCCTAACAGAAGCGGTGCCTGGCCCCTTTAAAACACAACACTCACCCTCTGGAAACTCGCAAGAAATAATAAGGTTTGGAACCCCTCCAGAGAGACAACAAGAAAAGCGAGACATAACACAGGCTGGCACAGGCCACACCGTCTGAGGAGGCAAAAAAGAAAAAAAAGGTCACCGCGTGGTCACACTGCGCGCCCAACTTTCTGATCCCAGGGCCGATCGTTCGGGTGCCTCTTCTCCCCTCCCCGAACGAACACGTGTACAGGCTCTGTCCCACTTTGCGCAGCCCGACAGAGACGGCCGAGCACCCCCATTCTGTGTGCGTGCAGGAGGTATGTGCCACACACTTTGTCTCCTGCCCCCCCCCTTTTTGCTGTTTTTTGGAGCCGTGGGAGGCTTGCGTTGTTATGGATCTGGTTGAGTCAGTATACCTTTTATTAGAATATGCCTCTTTTGAAGGCATATCACGACCACTGAATTATATTCCCCTGCATCTAAACACAAGCACACGCCCCGAAGCAGGACCAGCCTTCCCTACTCTCCAGATCGGTTGGACTACAACTCCCATTGTCCCCTGTTCAGCGCGAAGGGCTTCTCTAGCTGTACACAGCTGAGCGGACTTCCTTATAGATAAGGATTAATAAATACGTAACTGGAAAAATGAGGAAGGTTTGCCCAGAATACACATGTAGACTTAGTTGAAAGAAAGAAAGAAAACACGTGCGAGAGGGAGACATATAGGCCTGTAGGGCCGGTTTAAGCTTGTCTTTGAAAAAGAACTTTCAAAAGGAAGACCCAAAGAGAGAATGACAGCAATGCACGGGCAGTCCAGCGCACGTTGCCTCCGCGCACTTCTGCAAACCTTCCAGTTTCAGGGAATGGAAGGGGAGGGGGGTGAGATCTAACTTTAGATCTTGAATGAACCCCTTGTTTAAAGGGTTCGATCACCCATTAGTTTTCCGTGATCTTCGGGAGAACCTGCTCCGCCGGTTAGGAAAGCTTCTATCACAAATGATCCCGTTTGATTTATTCTCCTTGCAAATAACCTCCCGTCGATCCGTCCACATCGAACCGTCTGTCCTTCTGCAACAGCCCGGGAGACAAATGTGGCTATCGACGATGTATTTAAGCGCCCCGGCCGCGAGCAGCGGTTTGGTTTGTTTCTCGCGTCTGAAAGATTACTCGCAATTAAATAAAAATCTGTTATTTCGTAAAAGAGCTCAGCAATCGGAAACACAAAACTGGTCCCGGGCCCGACAACCTCTCAATGTCGTCAACAAGTAAACTTAGTAACGACAAGCGTTACAGTCACAAAGTTACCGCTCAAGCTTGTACACATTTACTGGAAAGTTATGAAACAGCGGAAGGGGCCGAGACTAGCGCAATAAATTTAGAAAAGCTCTTAGGATTTCTTTTTAATTATGTAGCCTTATTAACTTCTACATTAACCATTTTATTTCGTATTTTAAAAATCACTCTAATTAAGCCCATCTCCTTTCCTACACTTCAGAGCGTTAAAAGAGAGATATATCAAAGTTTCTACAAGAAGATGACTGGAGGGGATGGAATGAAAATTCCTAATATTTGACGTAATAGAAAGGCAGTGTAAGAACGTGACGATCGGTTTCATACGCTAGAAAATTACAGGAGTTGATTTATTTTCCCACCCCCATTGGTTGTGTGTTTGCCTTCAACTTAGGTGTTATCAATCTATTCCCAAAAATGACGAATGACCTTGTCACACTGTCGCCAGGCGAAACATTGGGGTTTCCCCCCCCCTTCTCCTTTTTGCCCTATCAGATTTGTGTGAAAATGCCTTGCCTTGGACACAGACGAAAACTAAACAGAAACACCGTTCCCAGGCTCTGTGAAATGCTACGAGGGTGGGGCGGAGGAAGGAACGGACTGTGCAATGACAGGCATATGACCTGGGTTTGTTGCTCAGATAACCAGATAGGGCGTAGGGTGGGAGACGGAGCTAGAAATATTCTTTTATATCCGAAATACCATTTTTATATAGGCTAACTAGAATAAAACTAGTCAGCCACCTATCCACCATCCACCTCTGCAGCTCCTCTAAAGTTGGCGAAAGTTTTCCCACTCGTGATAGTGACTCCAGTTTACACGCTCTCCCTATACGCGATCTGAATTACGCAAAAGTGCGGAAATCGGAGTGGAACAGGATAGCTCCGAGTGATCCTGCACATTGGACCCGTACTAACGAAACGTACTTACTGCCAGGAAAGTCACACTTGCTGTTTAATGGACCTTCCTGTTTAATGTCTTTATGGCGAGGCGCAACAGCCAGACCCGAATGGTGAAAATCTGCTTTTCTTTATTTATATTCTATACTGTATTGGCCAAGGCAACTGTAAACGCAGCCAAACCGCTTAGCCCGCCACCACCCCTTGTATGTAGAGGTGAATTGCTCTGTCGCTCAGCCCTTGACAGGGAAAACTAAGAAAGAGATGGGGCAGGAAGCTTATTTCTGTGGGGAACTCCGGCGCAAAGGCAGCCGCGACGGTGACGGGCGCGCCCCCGGGCAGGTCCGCGTCTTTCCTCCAGCCACCTCGGGGAGGAGGCGACCGAGTCTTCTGGTCGCGGAGCGGGTTCTCTTTGTGCCGCGAGGCAGGGTTTGCAAAGCCCTGTTTTGGAAGAGCCGCCTGTCCTGATGGGATTTCCCCCTTTAATTTCCTTCAGATGGGGTCAAGTCAGGAGGCGGCCGTTCAGCTCGGCTTCTTGGGCGGTCAGGGTGGGGTGGCGGAGGGAGAGGAGCAAATTTGCAAGCCCTTGACAGGGCTTCCCGAGGAGAGAGGAGGGCATCTGCAGCCCCAAGGACAGGCGCCTTGAAAGCAAGCAAGCAAGCAAGCAAGCAAGCAGAGCTAGCTAGCTCTGGGGCAGTTATCTTCCTGGCGGACCTGCTCTTTCATAGCCGCGCTCAGGACCATCCTGCCGTGCTCCAGAACCCAGCGGCCCCCACAGTGAGGATCGACGCCCCCTCCCAGTCTTCGCTCCGCTCAAGCCGTCCAGTTTAAAGGGGGGGAGGAGCGACGGCACCGAGTGCAGCGGTTTCTCTCTCCCCCCCCAAAAAACACAAGACCACCCCTCCCCTCGC